GCAGGGACAGCTGCCTGTTGCTAACTACGTAAGTTATATAATATGAACATTCAAGATGTGCTTCTGCACCAGCAGCCTAAAGAGAGAACCACCTATCTTATTTTAAATTCATTTTCATAAGCTCACTGCAGCACATAATTGTAAGTGAGCTATTGAAACAAAAAGCAATTTGATTTTCTATCCACACTTATCAAGTACCAAGTAACATGCTAGAACACATTTTACTATATTGACACTATATTGACAGAGCAGCTTTAGAATACTGATTAAAATGAAAAACAAAAGTTGGGTTGAAAAAAACATGGTGGTCATTGAAGACACTGAGACAAATCAGAGGTCCCTTTCTACACTTCTGGTACGAAGAGTGCAGGGCTTATTCCTTCTGCAGGTTATTTATGAGCACATCCTGGATGCTGGCACTTTCCTGGCAACTGTGTTTACAACAGGCGCATCCTTCTCCCCTGAAGTGAAGTATTGGGCAAACAGTCAATCAACAGGATATAAGTGTGAAAATGCATGCTAGTGATTAGTGCAGAGGAATAATAGTAAAACATGGAGGCATACTGCTGTCAGCTGAGGTCAGGAGAAGAGGTGTCAAGGCGGCTTATGGGGAAGAGCATGTCTACGCAATGCCCAGGAGGAGGACAGGCATGTGACCCAGTGGAGAGCCAGGTACCAAGGAGAGAAATGTCTAGGCCAGGAATTGCTGGGCATGCGGCAGCCACTTTCATCAGTCAGCCTTTCCTTTCTGGGACAGCATACAGAAACTCACACTTTAAAGGAGTTGAGGGTTAATTCTGCTCATGGTTTTTGAGGATTCATTCCAGGGTCAGCTGGTTCCAAGGCAGAGACATCGCAGAAGGGGTTGAGAGCACAGATGCTTAGTTCATGGTGGCTGAGAACCAGAGCAGAGAGCAGGGCCAAAGAAGAAGGGCCCAGGGCCAATGGAGATCCCTTGGCTTCACTTCCAGGATGCACACAGAAAGTGTGCTCCACCCATTCCTGTGATGGTGACTTCAATTCAAATAAGGCACCTCTGCACCTGCCCATCACTATTCTGCATAAGCAAGAACACTACAGAGATGCAGCAGGAGAAAGATGAAGGAGTGAGCTGGGGTACAGGTGTGTCCCATGCACCAGAGGTACAGCCCTGTCATACTTGGCATCAGGACATGGGAAGGCCAGGTTGCAAGGCAGAACATCCAGACCTTCTTAAAAATGGTTCTCTCTGGAAGCTGGACTGAGAGTAGACTAGAGGTTGCACAGACAGCAGTAGAGAGAAGACTCCTCTAAATAAAGCTGAACAGTGAGAAACAGTTCTTTGTTACCTCCCTTGCTTTGTGATTTTCTTTTCATGACTAAGAATAAATTTCTTCGTGTGTGTGTTTGTGTATGTGTGTGTGTGTGTGTGAAACTGAGCATGCGTGCTGCATGTATGTGTCAGAGTGGAAGTGTGAGAAGGTCTCTTTCCCACGTGGTCCTGACACTCAGCTTTCATGTCCTCTCCCCAAATGAAAGGGAGGAGACATGGGAGGACAAGCAGGTGAAGGGAGCTGCCCTCTTAGCCCAGCATTTTCATGTACCCAGGGCTCGCTCGTCAAGAATTAATTTAATAAATTTATTACTGGATCACACTAATGAACATTCAAACTATATAGGAAACCCAAAGATGAAGACTCTCTTCAGTAATAAGGATCGCGCCTTTATAGAAAGTCTCTTTTCCGACTTGCACCATTCTTTTCTATCACTGCGCTTAATTTCACTGAATTAAAAGCAACAATGAATTAACTATATTGGTATTTATCCTCCAGTTTTCTTACAATTGTTTATGTATTTTATTATTTGTATACGGATATCTTATTTTTAAGATAATCTTATTCCTTTGCAACATTTTCTCTTTTTTTTTTTTGTATGTATTAAAAAGGATTTCATTTTAAAATAAGTCAGAAGTGGAAAATTCTACTAAATATGCACAACCCGAGGCATCAATAAAAAAAGGAAATGGAGCGAGCAAGCTGACTACACCTGTAGTCTCTGGGTGTGGACCAAGTGCCGTTGGGACTGGCCACTGGGTCAGTAGCATTTCGGTGCAGGTGACATCTTTCCTGTGATCCCGTCTCTGTCCCTCCTGCAACAGCTACTCAGAGGGCTTCGCTGCCATTTCTGCAGGTGTCACATGACCATGCAGAGGCAACCCTCTGTGATGTGACAGAGTCCAAGTGGGTGTTCCTCAGGTTTACTCCAAGGTAGAATACTGGCTACAAACACATCTACTGACTCCCAAGAGGCTAACGCCAGCTGTCTGGGAGCTGGTACCACTGGAACCTGCAGGGTGTCCTTGTGGCTCCTGGAGTGAGCAGTTGCCCTGTATCCTCAAAGTGTGGAAATGAACCTACCGGGTGGCAGGAGTTCTTTTCTACTCTGAATTTTCTTATAGAGAAGCAGCAGAGGCATACGCACAGCCACCTCGGCAACAGCGAAGATAGTCTTTGATGGATTAGCTCTGCTTGGAAATCAGTGAAATAAACAAACTCCCCCATCAGAGTGTATACTAGGGTGGAATATGAGTGGCTCCTTTGATCTTGTCATCAAGACACAAGGAGGAGCACAGGAAGTGGACAATGTCAGCACACTTGGAGGTCCGGGGAGGCACTGCACTGTCACATCACATTCAAGGACAAGTGTGAGTTTAAATACAAGTGCTGTGTGGATATCAAAACCAAGTAAAGGAAAAATAAAGGGTCTCATGAGGCACAATGTCAAAAGCTGAATGGAAGCCGAGGCAATCTGATGGCAATTAAGAGGACAGCTGATCTCAGTATATCCTTCCAGAATCCAGATGGCTTCTTGCATCTCAGTGACTCTTTCAGATGTGGTGATCTCAACACAAACACGCAAGAGAGAAAGAGATGGCTTTGCTCTTTGCTTTCCGCACCCAGCTAGCGTCTGCTGCTCTTTCATGGTCAACGTGTCGGCAGCCAGAACTGCATCCTCGGGTCTCTCTGGGCAGGGTGTGCATTCTTTCTCCAGGCTATTGCATCTGACTCATAAAGCCCTCATCCTCCAACTAGCAATCTTGATTCCTACCCTGATGCTTCCCTGCCCTAAGTCTCTTCTAAGATGCGTGCAGTCTCACACGCTAACTCTCAAATTCACTCAGTGAGGTGTGTGAGCTAGGCATTTCAGTGACACTCGTACCTAGGCTGGCCTCTCTGGATGTGGCCTGACTTCAGGGACAAGGAGGGCCTCTCCCTGCAAGGGCGCCCTGGCCAGACCGCTGGGGCCAGGGATGGCCTTACTGTGCCTAACATGCACTAAGCCAGGTGGGGCTTTCAGCTCTCTGGAAGGTCCGACTTCCTCTGAGATTTTCTATTTGGGCCTCAGACTGCACATGTGCAAGGAGTTTGAAGAGATCATCCATTCTTTATCATCTTAGTAAACTCTTCCCAGGCATCATGGGGGTTTCCAGAAGAGATTCCAGGGTTCACTGAACCCCTTTCTTCAAATCCCATGAAATAAAGAAGTAGCGAGTGCAAGTCTGTGCCTGAGCAGGGGAAGGAGCCCAACCCAACTGCAGCACAGGGGAAGTCGGGCCCGTGTTCAAGGGAGGTGCGCTGCACAGCGGGTATGAGGTCCCCCGCTTCCCCGCTCAGCCTTTTGCTTCCCAGCACTCCCTGCCATTCTCTTCATCAATTCAAATGTTCAGTGACTTCTTCCAATTATTTTAAGACTAGAAAAGTTTGCTACCCCTAGTCCAAGGCAGAATTTTCTTATTTTAGTGAAACTTATTAGAGTTGGGGGATGGCTCGGCAGTTTACAGGTCATGAGTTTCATACACATAACTCAAAGAAATCATGCAATAGTATTCCGTACTTTATGTTATAAAGACCATAGTGAAAGGAGAAGGGAACAAAGGAAAGAGAAGGAAGGCAAGTAATGTGCTTTTTTTTCAAAAGACAATGCATACTCTGTGTGTGTGACAGAGAGAGATGGAGCACAGACAGACAGACAGAGAAGGTGTGGTGTGCATGGGTCCATCTCAATCGTTTGGATCTGAGGTGAAACTTTAGTTTAGAGAAAAAGATAATGAGCTGGAAAGCCAACGACTTGCACCATTACTAGTTCCTCTTCTATCACTAACTGCCAGAGCCTAGGCTAAGCACTGCCCACACATATCCCCTTCTGCATCTGCGCTGTCATCTGCATCTTTATTCTGAATTTGCGCAGGGTACTGCTTGCATGTTTCAGCAGCATAGCGCGTGGAAATCCATGCACGGGATCTTTGACTACTTGCACAACAATGACAACTAATTGGCACAACTTTGATAACACTGGACCACAAGTGTCCCCACTGACATGGGTTCAGCCTAATTGAGGCTGCATCCACTGCATCTACTTACGCCCTGCTCCCAGCTCATGTATCATTAGAGGCCAATACTCTCTGTCTCTTGGAAAACACTTCAAGTAAATAAGGATCCCATTATTCAATTCATCATCTTCAAACTCTACTATCTTAGCTTCCCAAGAAGACAAACTGAGATCCCTCTGAAGGGTGAGCCAGGTGAACTGAATCCTTCTTTCTCCCTGCTTCATTTTGATAGTGGCTCTCTGGTTCCGGGGCGTCTCTGGCCCTCTAGCCACCCTGGTGGTAACAAGCAAGCCACACACATACACAATAGCCAAAATGACATGAAGGGAAGAGTTGTGGTTGGATCCCTGAGCACCTTCTGACACTCTTTTCACCTCATAGATACTATACTCACATACGTGTGTGTGTGTGTGTGTGTGTGTGTGCGTGTGTGCGCACACCAGGACGATGCCTGGATGAAATGTGTGCACTTACATTAACAGCAAAAGCAGAATGGACCATTTCAATCAATTAAGCACTCTGAATTAAAATGATATCAATTTTAGCCCCAACTCTGTAATAAATGAAGGCTGTGTGAATAAAATTGTGTGTATATATGTATGTGTGTGTGTATATATATATATATACTTACTATATTGGCAATTTCTTCCCATAAATTCTCCTGGGCACTCACAGGAATAATTAGCAACAAGATCTGTGCAAATTCCACTGTTTTTGCAAGGTTCAGCTTCACATTCATTGATGTCTGAGGAAAACAGAACCAAGAAAGAGGATTAATAGTAAAATTATATAGGTGCTGGAGCTTTTAGGCATCTTACAGCAAATGTCCGAGTAATGCCATTTCCTGAGCACTCCTGTGCAAGATGGACCAGTGCAAACGCTGCTTAAACTAACAGTGTGTTGAAATTCAAATTAAACCAACTTCAAGGAGAACGAAAAATTCAAAGTGAAAGAAGACCGGTGGAACTAAACTATTCTCCAGTTCTGAAAATAATTATGACTAGTTTGGGGAAATACTCAGTGTATCCTTAGAATTAAATCAAACAAATTACTCCTGATGGGGAGATGAATTGGCTTCCCTTACAAGATCTAGAAACCACCCTGCAGCAACAACTGCCAATTAACACTGTCTCATTTCATCTTAATTCATTAAAATTCTAACTGACAGAGATGTTTTAGTTTCTAAATAGTTCGCCTTTGATGAATACGATGAGAAGCAAATTAGAGTTAATAGCTGAGGCTCGTTACAGGCGAAGCATAATAAATGTAAATGATGATCACTTCCTAATCTCATTCAGGAGTTGCTAAAGTTAGGCTGGCTAAGGGACCTACCTTTGCTGTACCATTATTAAACACAAGGATGCAGAGCTGCGGGAAATACACCGCATACGACAAATCACGTTCATGGCCATGCTGATTTTAGACATTTTAGAGAAAATGAGTGCATTTCCAAAGCAAAAAGGAAACCGTTCATTCAAATACCCATCTCTGACACTTACACCTCTTCCCACCCCGGCGGTGCCACAAGTTCTACGGAGCTGGCACAGACGCTGGAGAACACGGTGCCAGCCTCTCTCCTCCCGCCACCCACGTCATGCTCCATAGCTACTTTTATCCCAGACTCTTTTATTGCTCTGATTTTCATCATCTTACAAACCTAAATGGCACAGCTTGCAAGGGGTCTATTAACACATCTCTCACCCTTCATTGGTCAGATAGCCGGCCCCGCACACGGAGAGCCTGCCCTGCCCTGTTGGGCCGTTCCATAGTAGACCAACAGTGACATGAGTATTTCCTGGTAAATTTCTAATGAAGAATAGAAACAGCAGTGTGGGCAAGCCAAGACGCATTCAGATTTTAACAAGCCGTCACATCTAGTGTATGAGAGGTTTCCTGAAGCCCTCTCAGCCCAGCGGCTTGAAGCAGTAGGCTCACTACATCTTCCTTTCAAGGGACAACAAAGGGAAAGTACTCAAAATCTGTCTGTCTTCCCTTCCTTTCACCTTCTGTCTTTCTAGCAGCATCCCTTGCAGATAGATGACTTGCCCACACTTTCATCCACAGTCCAGTCTGGAAAGTGGGGTCCAGATTAGTCTGTGCCAGCCTGACCTTCTCTAAAGGCAGCATTTTTGGCTCCTCTTTGTCCCAACTTAAGCATAAAGAAAATTCACATCTATGTTCAGAAAAAATCCAAATAACTTGTGCTCGCTTGTGATCCCAGTGCTTGGGAGGCTGAAGCAGGAGGATTGCTCTGAGTTTGAGACTAGCCTGGGCTACACAGTGAGCTCAAGGCCAGCCTGAGCTGCATAGCGAGACCCTGTCTCAGAAAGACAATTTACATTTACGAGTCTAAGCAATGCAAGTGATTTATAACAGTCGGACCCCTTTAATAATCTCTAAAAAAATGTGTTTTAATTATGATTGATTCCTGAACATGTGATACTTAACTCTCTTGCAAAAGAGAGGAGGCTGAAGAGGAAAGAGGAGAGATGGGCAGGGGAGAGGAAAGGCGAGGTAAAAGGAGCATAAGAGATCTGTAGTTCTCCGGAAGAAAGGACCAATGTACAATTTAGTTATCTGGTAGAAAGGCTTGTGCGCATTCTCACTTAGGATTGCAGGCATTGTGCGAGTGATCACACCTAGCTGTCCCCACCTGGGAGTGCAGAGGAAGGGACTTGCACAGCCTGCTGCGTGAGAATTACCAAGAGCGGCGCACGTGCGAATACCGCGCCCAGGCGGGTATCTGTGTCCCTGAATCTTGCGAGACTGTACACACTCGCTGAAAATGCGTGAGTGTGCCTGTCACTGTAACAAACTGCTCTTCAGGCTATATCTAAAATCAACAATGCAAGTGATAGGGTCAGCCAGATAGTTCAGCGGATCACAGCGCCTGCTTAGGCAGACGCAGGGGCCGGGGGTTTGTGCTGAGACAGCCAGTAAGAGGGGGCGGTGGCGTGTGCCTGTAATCCCAGCTTTGGGAGGCTGAAAACAGGAGTCCGATCTGTGTAGTGAGACCCTGTGCTAAGTACACTTTAAAAATGCAAATTAAAAGAGGGGCGTCTGATGTATTAATTTTTTGACAGCAATACATTTACTGCAGTGTGCTCCTCGTGTGGAGCTGGTGCGTGTCACAGCAGGCCTCGCTTCCTCTTCCCACCTGCTTTCTGCCTTTCTAGGTCCTTCCCTCCACCTCTGGATCTCTTTCCATTTAGAAAGATCTATCTTCCTCCTCCTGTTACCTTTCTGGTATTTTACGCTCTTTGTATTTTTAGATTTCTCACATAAGAGAAACAATACAATATGTAAGCTTGATTGCCTGATTTTTTTTTTCTTCACTTAACATCATAGTCTCAAGATGCACAGTTTTCCCACAAATGATTCAAGTTTATCATTGTTCATAGCAGTCTAGTATTCCATTGTGTATGAATGCCACACTTTATCATGTATCTGCTGATGGACATAGACTTTGCTTCCACGATTTAGCTATTGTGGATTCCGCTGCTGTAAACGTGGGTGTGCAATAGTAACAACAGTAAGCATCTGATTCTTAACAAGCCACCAGCTCTCAGAGGTTAACGGAAAGTGGAATGCCCTGGATTTGCATGTAGCTAAGCGGAAATACAATGTGGGCATATGGTTTTTGCTAAAGAGTGACCTTCTGTTTAACTAAAATGAGGTCTTTCAATGTTTCTTATTAAAACTCAACAGCTACTTAAGTCTAAATTTGCAGAAATTCAAATGTTATGCTAAATGAATTGCAATCTCTCACACTAGAGCAGAGTTAGCAAAACATTTCTACACATGTCCGGTAACATGCGCTCAGAGGACAGAAGCGTTCGTGCTGCGGCGCTGATGCCTCAGCGTGGCAGAGCTTTCTCTCGGCACTGCCGGCTACTGACACTGCGATTAACATGGCAAGCGATCTAAATGGACACTGACCTCAATTTGTATAAATCATGTTTAGTTAAAGACTAGATATAGCCGCTCACAGACGCTAATGCAATGGAATGAAAATTAAAACATTTTTGTAATAAACCACATACATCCCCACTTGCCACAGATCAAATCATTATCATCTCTAGAAACAAAGCCGGCACAGATTCTAAAATAGAATGGGATGCAACAGATAGCTTTGATACCTAAGTAAAATCTGATACATCTGGCTTCCCATAAAATAAGAATATCCATAGTTGGTTAACTTTGTTCTTCACTTATGACAGTAATTATATTTCTGAGGTCCTACCTTCTATGACCATTTCATCTAAAAATAAAATGTGATTTTATAATCAAGACAATTAGCTGAGTCCTTACACATACACCTTTGATGCCCACCCGAGGAAAGGGCCCACCGCCCCGGCCTCTTGAGCTGTAACTGCAGCTCACCCTGATTTTCCGAGAGGTGTGTTTCTGTTCAGTGAGCTTTTCTTTTGGTGAAGAATGAACATAGCAGAAGAGAAAAGAGAGGAGGAGCTCCGGGGGTGAACAGATGAATGTCTCTGGAAGGAGTCGTGAGGCTCTCCGTCGGGATGCCTCGCCCGTGCTGGGGTGCTACTGACTGCAGAGGTCTGCTCATCTTACACCCTGAACTAAGACGTTTTGTTATGATGGTGCAGTTAGCTAATTTTCTGCAGATCTGTGAAGGGTTATTTGGGTTGTAACCTCTTTGGCTGAGGTTTTTCCTTACAGAAATACAGCCAAACTGTTCAAACTCTGGAGATTTCACAGAGTTTTGTATTTCACGAATTCATTAGGATCAAGGTGAATATTCACCCTTCAGATGGTTCATCGTGGATATACAAGGTCGAGTCCTGAGCATGGGCAGTTACTCCAGATGGGGTCTGTGTCAGGGCCCAGAACCTTCCAGCAGCAACCTGTCTAATGAGTTTTGAAAATCAAATGACATACTTTTTTGTTTTTTATTTGTATTTTCAAAAAACAAACGAACACCCCCCCCCCAAAAAAAAAAAAAAAAAAAAAAAGGATTTTCTAGGCATGGACTGACCCTCAGGGCTGTCCCTGTGCACGGAGCCCCAGGGCAGGCAGAGCAGCCAACCAGGGTGTCTGCTTCCGGGGAGGAGGCCAGCGAGGGGAGGCCTTCTCTACTCTCTTCTCTGTCCAACCTATTGGTTTTCAGCTTGAAGTTCTCGTACAAAACCAATGTACATTTTTTTTCATAATTTTATTGAGAAACTAATAGCAATGAGACAGTTTCAAATCAAATTGGTAGGACAGTTTCAATAATTAATGCATTGCATACATTCTTCCTAGGGGTTAATTGCTGTGCAAGATGCAGACATGATATCCTATTTACAAACACCATTAGAACAAATCCCTCTATTCATTAAGAGAATGTAACTCTGTATCTATCCTAACCACTTTGAATACACAGATACAAAATGGACATTCCTCTGTATCCCCTTTTTTTGTTAAGTCCCATTACCAATGTACTTTCTTTCCTGAGAAAGAAATCATATTTACATGATCACTATGTGCACTTAGCACTACAGACTCCATTAGTTGGACAGAAATCAAAGTAGAACTTTTAGAGTTTGATGCTGTTCACCTCTAGAAATCTTAAACAATTAATTAATTAATTAATTAATTTCCTGCTGACTTGGCACACCTTTGCATTCTGCGGAGGAGGGACTTGCTTTCTGGCGCCAACTACATTCCTACCCACCCTTGAGTTCCTTGAGAATGCCTTCCGTCCGTGATGGATCTTTCACAGCTTCGAGGGGCTCAAGC